TTTCTCCGATCACAAATGCAGACATGGTTTTATGTTTAGGTGGCACGATGCAACGCAACGCGTAAAAAGACAGTATAAGTCATTATAATCCGTAATTATGTCCCCACTGGATGCAACGAATGCCTCGTTTATAATGGGTTTTCATGTTCTTGTCTCGTCGCTCCGGCCGGACAGGGCATCATCACAGTATGGTGAGGGGCGTAACATTTCAGTCTCACGCTTGAGGTAGTCGGCCAATCACAACACACTGAATAGCTGGCCAATCACAGCACACCTAGCTTTTTCAGACCAATGAGCTTTGTAAAAATCGACACGTTTCAGAAGGTGGGGCATAGAGGAGAAACAATAATGTTCAGTATGTGGAAAATAATGTGTTTTTTGAACCTTAAACCACATAAACACATTTCATTACACCAAGTACACAAAATACTGTTCTTTTTAGCAGCATCATATGACCCCTTTAAAAGCTTTTTTATGTGAAGTTTAAAAAAATTATTTAAGCATTATGTGAAAAACCAATAGGAAATAAATAAATAAATAAAGTGGGAGGTCATTGTTGCACATCATCTTCATTTTGAAGGATAATGATTACAAAATTAAATTAAAGCAAAAAATGATATTAAAACATCCTTTGCATTAAAGGCAGTCCCATAATGCACAACAACTAAACTACAAAATAAATATTTTTCATTTTAAAGTCAAACCCAAGCTAACTAAAGCAACACATCTACTCCAAAATATGACCCCAAACATCCCGCAGGCCCTCGCTATGACATCCCAAAAAAAAAAATATATATATAATATATATAATATATATATATTATTACAGCAAATGAGGAAAACAACACGTCGGCAATGAGACTTATTCATCAGAAGCACTCGCACACGTTTCCTTTGTGATTCTGCCTGCTATTAGGTGTCAGAACAGGTTTTAAATTGGATTCAGAGGAAGCCACTAACCCCAAAGCTCCCCCATCCCCCAGCCAAATCAAAGCCTAACAGTGTGCTGAAGCTTTTATAATCCCCTTTATACTCGGTCTCACATGCCCACAAGACGACGACTGCACCTCACCACACCAAACTCCACTGGATGCTGAATAACAAGCCAATTTAGTTGTTTAATCACATAAATGACCATGCAACATGCAATAGGTTGATTACAAAGTGAGAATGCAGCTGTCATGACAACAATAATGCACACTGTGCATGCACGAGTGTGCGCATTAATAAGTGTGGAAATTTGAAGCAGAGCGAGAGGGGGCAAGGCCGTCTCGGCCTCTCATTTTGCTCGCTATCTCTCCCTTTGTTTGCACAAGCTTCTTTCAGTGTCAGTGACAGATTCTCATGTTATCCCTGCATAGTGAGATGTGCACGGGACTGCTGCAGGATCTATAGGTCACATGAGAGGAGACACATTCTTGGGGCCTACAGCAACTGGGCTCCTGCAAACCTCTGCATGGGTGCCAGGCAAACAAACAGCATCTCTACAGTCAACAGTTAACAGTGGTCACTGGTCGCCATGGACCAGTGCATAGAGCACAACAGTGCGGAAGTAAAATCCATAAAATCTCTAGAAACAGACATGAGCTCTGAGCTCACAAGCCAGTGTCATTTTAACTTCATAAAAAAAAAAAAAATCTGATTAAATGGCAAATTAGCAATGAAATACATTATCTACAATTATGAAGCGAGATTCACTAATAAGAGAACTTTCTGTATCACTATATATTGATATACCAGATATCGTACCCCTTAGGGGTTTGTGAGTTACTAGCTATCAATCAATCAATCAATCAATCAATAATCAAAAAGTTTTTATATTCGCTTCAGGTGGTTTTTCACTTGTGCGAGTTAAAGGCACAATGTGTAATTTTCGCCACGCGTATTCAAAATAAACAAAGAAACAAAGGCGTAGTTTGATGACGCTGTGACTGAGTGTGGAATCATGGGCGTTGTCGTCATCCCCACAGCCGATGCAATCCGACGGGACTTGGGCAGAAATCATGTTCATGGATGAGCTAATGATTTATTAACGTAGTAGAATGAAGCAGGGTGAGGCTGAAAGCCGTCGAAGCGAAACGAAAAGCAGCGCTGTTTTATCATACTAGATACATTTGAACGTTCTGTTATTATGCTACTCTGTGCGGTCGTCAACGGTCTATTAAAACGCACAACATATTAAAGCGTCTTTGGTGTTTCCATGTTTTCTACAAAACAAAATCGGTAAATCGGAAATCGAGGGTGTATGACGTCATTGGCAGGCGACACAATGACACTATGGACACGCTCCGTGTCACTAGTTAAAATTGCTAATTTCTCTGGATTTAAACATTCTTCGAAACATTTGGGATAATGTAAGTACAAAAGTCAGCAAAATATATAACACTGTTCTAGTGGTTTTTGGATATTTTAATAAATAAATCTTACATATTGTGCCTTTAATGCGAATAATGTAAGATGGAAACACCTTTGCCGAATAAATTCAGACATAGCGAACATTAAACACACGTGACTTAATGTTGGTTACTAGGTTATCAATACTACCGTCATCCGCTCAAACAACTTGATGGAAACGCACCTAATTTGCATTTGTTTTTTTGTTTGTTTGCTTTTTGCGAACTTTGAAAAGATTCTCTTCACGTTTGGATGGAAGCCCAGCAAATGAAAAGCTAATAATTAATTAAATCATGAAAATGTAAGATTAAAAATAAACAGGGCTGCAC